ATCGCGAGAGCCCGCTGGTCCCCGGGGCCGCCGCAGCCCCCGGACGGGGCGGGGCGGGGGGCAGAGCAGCCTCCGCTTCCTAAAAAGGAGCTAGCTGCACCCCGCGCTCGCCCGGAGGAAAGAGGCCGGGCAGAGCAGTCGCACGCGGCGCCCCCGGGGGCCGGGCCCCAGCTGCCCCCAGGCAGGACAGCGCCGGTGGCCTCCCGCCCTGCGGCGGCTTCTTGCACCAGCGAGTAGGACGGGGAGAGGCGGCACCTCCCCGCATCTCTCACTGCACACAAGCTCAGCTCTCTCACCACCCCACCTCCGAAATAGGCAAGAGACCTACGAACTACAGCAGACGCGAGTAGCACAAGAGATTAAAAAGGATTTGCCCCTCTCATAATGGACTCAGCGTAGAAACCAAGTATGTGGCAGTTTTACGCTTGTTCCTAGTGGTCTCTTCAGTACGAGTGAATATATTCACATAGTGTTAAGGCAAGAGCAGCACTTGTTCAAAATCAAAATGAGAAAGTTAAAAAAAAGGGGGAGCACCCATTGGGAGTGCTCTATAAAATACCAAGGACTCATCACCTTGTGCAACATTTCAAGAGCTGTCTTTAATAAGGAGGTGAGCTCAAGAATGATGAAACTGGATTTCAGCATTATTTCACGAGTGTCAGATTTTATCTGCCCTCCCCATGACCGGATAGTCATGTCAGTTATGACAGTAGCTCCAGTTACTTCACTGAAACCAGCACCTCTTCTCCCCACCATTTTCCACAGATTAAGAACTGGAGTTCTGTACAGTATTCATACACATGGTTCTGAATAGCAAATCTGTGCAGTTTAATTTTTAAACTTCACTTTTTTAGTGTTATCAAATCTAATGTTGCTTCAAATGAGGCAGATTTCCACAACTTTACTCAGTATTACAGAATAAGGACCCCTCCATTAAGACAAACTGGTTAGATTCTTCTGCATTTCACAAGTGGGATTTGGGGGCTTTAGGTATTAAAAACAAATTCTGCTGATCTGTAAAAAGGCACAGACCTTTCTCTACTCGCTCTATTTTTTTGCATCTTGATTCATGAAGGGTGAAAGGCTTGTGACTAAGAGTAGGTTTGCACCAAGATTTCTCATTCCTATCCACACTTTGACAATGAAGCCAATTTGCGTGGCTCTGTTAAAAAACACTGAAGTGACTCACAACAGAAGCAAATGCTTTAAGAGAAAAAAACACTTCAGATAAAAACAAGACTGAACTGAAGGAAGATTTACTGTAATACTAAGCCAGGAATATAGTTCAATTTATGGATGTACAGTTTCTAAAGGCACCCTCTGGAGGAGATCAACATCCAGAAGGAAGTAAATGAGCATGTAGTCATATTTGAAGTTAGATGCTACAACAAAAACAGGCTTGCACAACTTTGAAGAGTCCAGTGACACTACACTATTTGACACATTCAAAGAAGTTCACTGGAATATTAAAGATCCTGTTAGCCCCCAGGATCTTTGAGTTTGGACACTCGCTACTACACCTTAAAAGAAGTTAGTACTAGTAAATGGAATAAAAAGGTGACTTGCTTCCCACTTCCCTCACCCTCTCCAAAAACAAAAAAAACCCCTCTAAAAACAACCCATCAAAAACTATTAAACATTTGTTTATCTAAAAGACAAAAAACCAGGATTCTTTGGGCATGTAGAAAGAAACTGAACATCTGTATAACATGCAAAGAAAATAAGGATTACAAAAACAAAAGACAAGCCATCCAGGAACTTAAGCTACATTTTCTTCGGAAATGCCAGTTTGCAAACTGGCCGTTATTAGCCAAAAGAGTGCCTAATAATGGAGGTATATTTGGTCCAGTATTCTGGTTAAGCAAAGCTATTAGAAATGATGGCCAATACTATTTAATTCTTAGCAGTGTAGCAATACATACCCCTTCCTGCTTCATGAAGAGCTTAAGGCAGTTGCCCAAGGCTTCATATGTTTCTCTTGATACTTCAGAGACCACTTCAACTTTCTGCAGCAGTGAAGGAGCCATTCCTGAAAGTCAAGATTTCCAAAGGCAAGTCATTATAGGAGACCACTACTGATTTTGTAGTATTTTTACTCCCAAGCTCTCAACTAAATATCCCACCCAACTCCTAGTATACACCTCAAGGCCAGAGATGCAGTAACAGTCTGTCTAAAACAGTATAGAAGCTCTCTCCCCATTGTCCCCAAGCTTGGGAAAGGTGATAAAGAGGCCCACGTATTGTACCTAATAGACACATTCCCACTCACAGCATGTCTAGGAGAGCCAGATACAAGTTTTGACTTCCTGAAGATGGTTAAAAGGCAGCTCCTTCCTCCCCCTTTGTATTTTACACTCATTGTTGCAAAGTTATCTCCATGCAAGTCATGGAATCCATCATCCAAATAAAGCAGGTTACAGCAATTTTGCAGGAAACAGTAATACGGTAAACTCTGCCATTGCCATTGCGTTATATCAGGAAGCTAAAGCAGAAAACCCCAAATGACAAGCCACAGTCAAACTGGACAATTAGCGTTCAAGAAATGCAAATCCAAAAAGGGACTGCTGAAAAATGGCAGGTGAAAGTGGGGGAGACAAAGCAAGCAAGACCATACCCATCAGAGATAAGAAGTATAAGCTACACAGAAATCTTTCCTCCCTCTCTGAACATTTCCATCTCAAATGGTATCCAGGTAAGAGAATGGAATGACAAGAACACTCAGGCTATGCTGCATGACAGATTATTTTAACTAAGCAAGTTTCCCCTCCATCCTTGCCATAATTCTACCTTGTGGAATAACTGGAATTAGAAAATGTGAAAGACAGCCTTTATTGCAACAGAACTATGAAAGCAAGGGGCACAGTAGGAACAGCAGAGGCAATTAAGCGTCTAAAAAGCACATTTGGCAAGTGTCAGCTGGTCTTGAAGGCCATGAAGACAAGAGTATTAATTAGCACCAAGTTCAATACAAACACAAAAGGATTTAAAATGTCCAAGTTGCACTAGCCTCAAAAAATCCTTCAAAATTTTTCAAGCCACGCAAAAGCAGTTAGATGCATAATATATATTTTGCAATCCATACATTAGTTATCTTTTATATTATATTTCTAGATCTTCTCAGCTATACACAGATACAGTGGAAGAATAATTTAGACTTAGACCCAAACCTTGTATAAAAAAAAAAATCTCAAGTTTTCAGGTTGCCTATGTTTAAGTTTCAATTATATACTACAAAGTTGTGTTCATTAGCAGACTTTAGAAGCTGGTTGGATCACTGTTGCGACCAACAGAAGAGCCTCTCAAAAGGCAGAAAACCTAGATGCTATAATCTACTCTTTACCTCTTCTACAGCAAGTTTCTTTTACTGCAAGTTCTACATACGCCAATCATCTAATTTCTTCAAGTGTGTTCAGGAATCTGGCAAAAGGAGATGGGCAAGATATTTTTCCATTATGGCAATTTTTAGACTCATTTGAGGCATTTTCCAGAAGACAGTTCCATAAAGAGGACTTTCCAATGAGATATTTACTTTCACCTCAAGAGAGCTTATGCTTGGAAAAGGCTAGTTCTATTGCCCCAGACAAGCCTGTCTGACTGAGGTAGTCAGACCCCAAACCACTAAAGGTCCTCAGTCAATTCAAGGCAACTGTATACCATTAGAGAATGGGCAGAAGGAACAGTGAAGTTATTTCTGTACTACTGGGATTCTGCATAATAAGTATTTGTAATCTGAAGCATCAAATTGGAGGCAGTATATATTCAAAAATTGATAAATTACTACTCTCCTCCAACAGTAGTTTGGAGTCAACAGTCATTTTCACAGAACTAGGCACAATAAGTAAAATGGAAACAAGCTCTTCACCATTATTACTGTTACTACTAAACCTGAATAACCAAACAGTTCCATGGAAATGAGAGTTTGTAATTTGACAGTGTGAGGGCAGATTTTTTTGTGTCAGTGTCAGATTCAGTTTCTTGGGACCCAAAAGGCTTCAGCTACATCTACATTAAGTTTGAGATAGCTGATCTTATTGCACAAGAAGGCTCTAAAGACTATTACAAACAAACTATACATGTTGCAAAAACCTTTTTATCATTTTATTTTAGAAGAGCAAAAAAAGCAACAAAACTGAATAAGCTTCTTTTAAGTGAACCTAAAACATTGTGTGGGGTTTTGCCTTGCTAGTACGAAATCAGTGTTGCAATTTTGGGATTGCTAGCTTAAAAAGAAGTTACACTTTTGCATCCGTTCACTGGTTTTTGAAAAGTTTTAGGCCACATTTAATGTTTAATCACATTTAATCATGATAGGATCCAATCCCTTATCCTAATAATTGTGCCTCCTGTCATGTTACACATGCACGGCAAGAGGCACAATTGGGATCAGATCTCCGATCCCAACAATCACACCATTACTACTTGTCAGTGCCAGTGCCAATGCAAGGGGAGCCTGGGATCACAATCCCACATTCCCCCTATGCCAGCAAGTTGAAAGATGAATGATTGCAGGTCCAGCTGGGGCTGACAGTCAGCTGATTATGAGCGCTGGATTCCAGTCCCCCTGCAGCCTGAAGCTAGAGCCAACAATCAATCAGCAGACTGGACATACCAGAAGTGCACCAGGCTGGTTCAAGTCCTCAAGTAAGGTTTAAGATCAGGGTTGCCCAGGCTGGGTCAACAATAGCCAGCTGTCAAAACCCCAGGTATGAAAACTCTGAATGGGCTGTCCAGTATAGAAGAATCAGAGGGTCCCTTAAAGTCCAGGGTGCAGTGAACCCAAAATTAGTGAGATGGTCCTTAGCATTGGACTCATGGCATGCCCTCCCCCCACTTCAAATTCTGCATCCAGGGATTGGGCAGGTCTACTAGGTCCAGGACCCAGTGCTGCCCCCAGCCCAAATCTCAGTGATCAGGTAGGGGACAGCTGTGTTCCACTCCCCGGGGCTGCCCCATGCCAAACCCTTTTGTGCTCTGCTAAGTATTGAGATCTATCATGGGTCAGCATAAACATGCCACAAGTTCAATTAAAACGTACTACAAAAGATGTTCTACATTATATATGGAACATCTTTGTTGCTCATTTGCTACTGTATCTACCCCAATCTAAGATGACCCCCCCCCCATAGTTAAAATTTATACATTTTCCATGTATATATGTATGGAATCCGTTATATTGGTCTTAAATTCATCTCTTCCACTAT